TGTGGGGTCAGGACACGGGGTCCAGAGCAAGCGCTGCCTTCCACAAAGCTCCCAGTGTCCTTGGGCAAGGAGACCCAGGGTTGTGGGGGAAAGAGAACGAAAGCAGAAGGGAAGGTGGCAGAGCAGCGTTGAGAGGGGCACCTGCTCCCGGCGTCTCCTACAGGAGGCCCCGGCCAGAGCTCCCCTGAACACTCGCGACACGCAGCCCGGAGGCAGGGCCCTCTCCGAGTGGGAGTTCCACGGCCAAGCACTGTTGCATGCCAAAGAAAAACGAAATTTGCTAGCCGAATATTTTTTAGACATTTTGCAAGATGCACGGCCTCCCTGACAATTTTTAATGTACTAACTGCCTGGTCCAGTGAGCTGATTAATTGGTGCTGGGGAGATCAATAAAAAACAGAAAATTAAAACAATTTTAAAGTGATTAAGTAGTTTAACACCTGTCTCCCGTCACGTCAGCGCAGGAAGAAAAATAAAGCAGGTGTCGAAGGGGCCTCCTGAAGCAAGAGAAAACAGCGCCTGCCTGGGAGAAATGACAAATCGCGCTGGTGGATCAATCCGAGCTGCGGCAGCCCTTCCCCAGGCCGCGCGAGCAGGAAGCAGGGCCCGGCGCCCTCCACCCACCGCTCGGCAGCGCGGTGGCCGCCCACGCGCCTAGCCCAGGCGAGGGGGGCAAAGGGAGCCGGGACACCTTTGCCTGGGACTCGGGCGGAACCTGGGCTCCTTTCCAGCCACGCAGGGCCGAGTCTGCCGCACGCGGACAGGTCAGACACACTCCAAACACATTTCGGGGCCTGTGGGGTCTCGGGAGGGAAACAGCCACAGCTACCCCTAGGATCACCGGATGCTCCGTTCTGGAAGCTCCGGGCTTCCTCCCTTACTCAGGGAGACAGAGCCGGCCACTCCCCCTTGCCCTGGCTTCCTGCTGTCTGGTGAGGTCACCAGGTGATGGCCCAGATGCCCCTCGCCCCCCACCAGCAGCGATAACGAGAGCTGCCAACCAAGAGTCACTCCCTTCCCATGGTTTAATGGATGTGACTCAAAATCACCCAAAGTGGCCTCGTGGAATACAAGAAACCCTAAGGCGATTCTTCTCCAGCCTCCTCACCGAAGTCCCCTAACAGAGTGGGGGTGGCCGTGGGACAGGAGGGCGGGGACAGTGCACAAAGGCTAGAGCAGCCCCTCAGGGGATGCACTTCGGAAGTGTGCGGTTTTACCCGGATGGTGGCCTTGAAGTTTGCACACGTAAAGCACCGGATATGCAGTGTCATTTGTGTCTAGAAAGCTGTCTCCCTGCTGTCGTCGGCGTCCCTGGCCTGCGGAGGACTGCAGCCAGCCCTGGGCACAGGCCTTGAGGTCCCCAAGGACCAACCTCCTGCACATGGGCCCAGACTGGACCACACTGGGAACACTTGCCTGCTCTGGGACACTCCTGCCAGTTTGCTTTCTGCCCTCCAGCTCCCTAGTCACCTTCACGGTCCCGAGACCAGGAGAGAAAACGGATCCAAAGCAGGTGAAGACACTGGAGCCCTCGCGGACCTCCCGTCAGTGACCCCGCTGCCAGAGGCCCTTCCCGCGTTCCCGCCTGCACCACTTCACGGAATGTTAAAGGAGTCGGCGGCCGCGCCTGGACAAGGGCAGGGTCAAGGAGTCCCAATCGTTCATTTTAATAAAAATATTTAGTAGCCGGATCTTCTTCCCTTTCCCACCACTTCCCTCTGGCCTGGGAATTCTGGCTGTGTCGTCGGTGGTCGGGTTGCTCTGTATAAACGATCTGCTTGGGGCTGTGAAGTGAAAAGGTGCCAACACCTTTACAGCAAATTTTATGCCAATGAAAATCTCACAAAAAAGGTTTCTGATCTCCAGCTATTGGCCCACTTTTAAAAATAACCCATATAGCCCACGACTGGTGGCGACGTGGCCAGGAAGGAGCTGAAGCCCCACCGTGCAGCCCCCCACAGACCTCAGATGTCTGCCTGCAGAGGACATCGGCCCCACCCCAGGACGCAGAGAGCAGGGGTCCAGCCCCGCACCCTGCTCTCGGAAACCTCAGGCCTGAGGCTGCTCCCTGCAGGCTGAGCCTCAGACTGACGGAGACAAAGTTTCCCTGGGCCCAAGCTCCAAACTCGGCTGTTTCGTTTCTGTTAAAATGCAATTGTTTTCCTCTGGAGTGTGCAGTGACTGCCCGGCGTCAGGAAGATGTATGAAAACCTCCACTTCAATTCAGCATCCCTTTTCTCCCAGACAAACACGGTTGGATTTTAATAAATCAAGGAGCCACACTGTTTAATAAAAATTTATTGACTTACAAGTGATTATTTATCAAAAGACCATTAATAGCAGGTACTGAAATGATGTGTTACTGGGTGGTGCAGGGAGACTAATAGGAAATCAATGCGGCCGGCCGGCTGGAATGCATATGAGAAGCCCCCCCAGCAGCGAGCGCAATCTCAGCCACAAAATACACCAGACACCACCCCTGGCGCAATAAAAAGTTCCCCTTTTTTATTTATCGTTTACAAATGAAATGATCAATACTTTTAATCTAGAGCAAAATTTATTAACTTTCCCATCGGAGAGAGCCGTATTGACTGGGGGAGAGGGTGTGCGTGCGAGGGGAGACGGATGGCCCGGCCGCCTGCCCCGTCCGAGAGGCAGCGTGCGTGCGGCTGCCCTTCCAGTCCCCGGCCTGGGCCACGCGGCAGGCGGGTGGGGCCTGCGACACGGGACTCTCCCATGCATCAGGGCACAGTGGGAGGACATCCCGCAGATGTCCAGGTTCCTGGTCAATTCCAGGAGGGGAAAGGCAAGATTTACGGACCTAGAACATTTCCAGAGGACAACAGGGTTGGCGTCCGCCGCTGGTTCGGCCGTGAAGGTCTGAGGCGTGCTGGTGCCCCAGAACGCCTGTCACGGTCTGGTGGGGGCATTCGGGGCTCTGGAGCCCTCCCCACCACGCCGCAAGCCTTTTGTAGTCCCTGAAGGGCAGCACCAGGGAGTGGTTCTGACACGGTGAAGAATCGAGTTGCAGAGTCAGTTCCAGTGTCAGGAGGACGTCTGCGCAGACTCCTCCGCCAGCTCAGCGTTCGGGGCTCCGGCCTGGCTGACAGATTTTTCTGTGCTTCCTCCGTCAAGGGAATTTTACCAGCGTTATTAGAAAGCTCCCCCTTAACCAGCTGCAAGAAAGTCTCACGTTTCAGTGAAAAAAGGCAGGCTGGGCGCGGCGGCTCACACCTGTAATCCAGCACTCTGGGGGGCCGAGCTGAGAGGATCGCTTGCGCCCAGGATTCAAGACTAGCCTGGGAAACACAGTGAGGCCCCGTCTCTACAGAATATTAAAAAATTAGCCGGGCATGGTGGCATGTGCCTCTAGTCCTAGCTACTCAGGACGCTGACGAGGGAGGATCCCTTGAGCCCAGGACTTAGAGGCTCAAGTTAGCTGTGATCGTGCCATTGCGCACCAGCCTGGGTGACAAAGGGAGACCCCATCTCTACAAAAAAGAAAAGAAAGAAAACTTCTGTCCAAGATCCACAATCAAAACCACCCTGTCCAAGAGAAGTGTGAACCCAGCCCCACAGTTGCCTAAAACGCTTGGGGACGCCCAGTGGAGTTTAGTGTCACTGGCTCTAATGTTTTAGAAGCGAAGGATTCAAACTGACCTCTCTTATTTCAAACCTCTGAAGACTTTAGAGATCAAAGCCAAAGTTTCAACTATGGGTTGAAAAACCATAGAACTTTCAGAGGCGGACCTGGTCTCAGGGGGCACCGAGCCCAAGCCGCCGGTTATGAATCAGGAAACGGACGCAGAGAAAGTTACAACAGCCAGGGGCAGCGCGTCTGGAAGTGGGATCGGAGGCTGGCCCGCGCCTTCCGCCCACTGTGTCACCTGGTTTTCTCCCAGCTCAGCCCCATCCCAGCTGGGACCTCAGAGCCAGTGTACTTCCCGCTGTGCGTGCTTCCCATCAGACCAACTCACTCATCCCAAACCGAGCATCCGACGAACGGCTCACCTGGGGCCTGTGGGATCCCCAGTCAAAAGGGACGGAGCCGCCACACGAGGCTGAATGCTTGTCGCAAGCACTGCATTGAAACGCTAGGGTTTCCCTGTGCAGGTGTGAGCACGTCCCTTCTCCCCACTGCCTGGTCCCCAGCACGTCCCCCTGCAGCAGGGACTCTGCTCCAGGCCTGCGACACCTGCTGTCACGAAGCTGAGGCCACTAAAAGCAAAAAAGACACATATGTAAAAATCCTATGCAGATCATGAAACAACAGCAATAAAGAATGAATATAAGTTTTAGAGGAACTTTTAAAAGGGACTTGTCCTTCAAGACTAATGCTGAAAGATCATCCCAGTTAGCTTCAAACCCTGTAAACATCACCGCCTATAAAACCACTCCTTCCTGCGCGTGCTGTCAAACGTGGCCCAAGGCTGCTTTTCCAGTCACAGCGGTGGCCGCTGGAAAGGGACGTCCCACTGGCCAGCAGGAGCGCAGGGGCAAGGTGGCGGCCGTCTGGGGAGGTCACGGGAAGGCACTGCTGGGCGAGGTGCAGGGTGCTCGAGACAAAGGGAATGGCTTTTAGCCTCGGGGCGCGGGCTTCACCCCGCAGCCCCAAATCCCTGGCCAGAGGGCGACCTTGGGGACCGACACTTACCGCAGCTGGTGTGCCGTCCTGAGCGGTGGCTGGCAGGACCGCCGTGGTGGGCAGCGGGGCGGATGCATTGAGGCTGGGCTGAGACGACGCTCTCCTGAGGGCTCTGAAGTTGGCACATCCCAGAGCGAGGACTCCGCCTCCATAGCGCCCGCGCTCGGCAGGTCCGCCCCGCCGCGCACCCCTCCCCCGCCGTCCGCCGCCCCCATGGGCTCCCACCCTGCTGCCCTGTCCTCACGTCCAGGCAGCCCCGCCGCCTTCTCTCCCCACTCACACGCTTTTTACGCCTCCACTCCACGGAGCCCACCTGCGCAGAGACCCGTGGCGATGCAGGGATTCTAGACGAACCAGAGAGATGTGCCACCGTCTGAAGACTGGTGTACCTCCCAGACCACGCTGCTCCTCTCCCGGAAGTCAAGGGCACCCTGCAGCCCCAGGGTTATGCTCAAGTAAGAGGACTTGAGTTTCACACAAAACACGCTACTCAGGGCTCCATCCAGGGAGCAAGAGTGAAGGCAAAGTCCCCCGGTTCGTTCGCCATCCACTTTTATTTACTCTCAAAAGCAAATCCAAAGCCCCGTGTGGCAGCTCTGAGCTCAGAACTTGTCTGGCCACGTGTCGTGGCCCTGGACTTACAACACTGAACATCACATGTCCTTCACTCATAGTAGCACTTTAATCCCCACAACAACCCTGTGAGGTAGGTGTCACCACCCTTCCCCTCCTGACCCATGTTACAGATGGGGAAACTGAGGCACACGTTAAACAAAGAGCAAGTCACATGGGGAATTCAGGCTCAGCCCTGGAGTCTGAACAGCGTGACTCGTGGGTCTCACCACAGCATTCGGTGGCCCACCGGCCTCTCCCGCCCTTGCTGGGGCTCTCCGCAAGCAGCAGCACAAACCAAAACCTTCGTTTTCCTGAAAGCCCCTGCGGACAGCACTGTTCTTTTCACCAAGTCTGTGGAGCTCCAAGGCAGGGGTGATGGTCAGGCTGAAGCCCCGGCAGGGCTGCTCCTCAGGAGCGGGTGCCCCTCCCCCAGCAAAGGCCGTGGCATGTGGGCATTCGCCACAGACCAATATCCCGCCGCCCCTGGCACGAGAATGTGGCTGGTTCTTCCCAACAGCCACTCAGCCCCACAACGCACGCGGGTGGCGCCGACTTTATTGGCATTCCTCCAACGACCATCGGGAAACAAACAAGAAGGCATCTCGTCCTGGGCGCCGCCTGGCAGCCCGCACTCAGGGGTCCCAGTGCGGCTCTAAGCGGCTGCGTGTTGGGATCTGGAGCAGCCTGGAGAGCCTGAGTGTGGAACGGGCAGCAGTGGCGCGGCGGCGGCGGCGGCGGCGGCGACTCCAGTGGGCTCGCGGTCGGGACTTGGTGCGACCGGCCGGCTCGAGGCGCGCTCAGGAGCGGCTCCGGTCCTCGTGGTTCCCGACGATCATCTTGCTGTACAGCTTCTGCTGCTCCTCTTTGAAGGTGTCCTTCACCTTCTCCCTCTTCAGGCCGCCATCCCTGTCAGAGAGCCTGGCTGTGACGGGAGGAAGGCTTCCTGGCACCCTCACACCAGGGGGACGCACGGTGCTGCCCCAAACCCAAGAAAAACCTGCCAGAAACGGGAGCACTCCACGGCTCTCTCGGAAGGATGACCCCCGAAACTGGCCCTCGACTCCCCGATCCACCTTTCCACCTCGAACACTTGCTCTTGCCCTGGGGCCAGAGCTCGCTACTCACATCCAGGGGACTTTGTAACTGCTTAAACCTGCCGAGGCGTCTGACATTCTTTCTACTCTACCATTCACCTCCACCTTGCAGAGGATAAAGGAATTATGCAAGGGAGACACACTTTAAGAAATATTGAGACTCGTAATATATCTGTAAAATCGATCTGTAAAATGTAATCTGTACAATTCAGACCCATGAATTCTCCGAATTCATGCCAAGAACTAACACGAGGGGAAATGCATGTTCTTCTTTCTCCCGTGCTCAAGCGTCAGTGCCAGAGCGGATGGACGCTCAAACGCCTGGGACTGGCTCTCAGAGCCCTGGCTCCCCCGCCCGCACCTCCCCGCAACAGCCCACCGCACCCGCCAGGCCTGGGCTGCTTCTTCACAGGTGCGTTCCCACCCACCCCGCCCCACTCCCCACCCAAACTCTACAGTTACCGCCACTCCGATGGTTCACGAAAACCTCAGCCCACTTTCAGTCCTGCCACGCCCTTTGACATCCGCAGCAAAGGCATGCTCTTAAAAGCAGCCACCCTTGCCTTCATTCGGCCTCGGAGACGGGAACGCGGAGGTTGAACTTTCGAGCTGAGAGCCCGTCAGCCCTGGGTTGAGCATCAGCCCTGGGTTGAGCATCTAGCTCCAGTGCTTATTTTCTGACTTTGGAAAAAAGTGACTTAACCTGAGTGTCAGCGCTCGTCTGCAGGGTGGGAATAGCAATCTTTGCCCTTCGTGGGGCTGCCGTGAGGATGGAGCGAGTTACCGCACGGGGCACCAGCAGCACAGTGGCATGTGGTGCGCGCTCAATAAACGCGGGGCCAAGCCATGACCTGAAAATCCACGGTTCAGTTTAACATGTGAAGTTCCGCCCTTTCTTTCTCATAACGTCCCTCTAAGTCCAATGCCCTCCACAGCTGGCCCTTGCACCCAAACCTAAGGCCCTAGATGGTAGAAAGTTTCTCTGAGCCAGACTCAACCCTGCCCGCCTCCCGTCACTCGGGACATGACCATCTCACACGCTAGCGTGAGGGCTGGTCAGCGGCGGCCGTGGGCCACACCCAGGCTGACACTTGTCCCTGTAAGTAAAGCTTTGTGGGGACACCGCACGCTCGCGTGTGTAGGCATCGGCTCTGGATGCTTCCACGCTGCAATGGCACCAGAAGGTCCGCAAAGCCTGAAATAGCCACCAACTCCTTACAGAGTAAGTGCGTCAACTCCTGCTTGATTAGCTAACAAGCCAAACGTGATGAATGAAACGTCTGCCTTCCTAAGGATGGTCCAGTTTTGCCAAATGCGCTGAGACCAGAGAAGGCCTGTCCTCCTGTGAGGATTTCAGGTAAGCCCAGGTCATCCCCACCTAGAGACGAGGACTGTCTGGTGCCCTGACAGACCGGCCCTGACCCCAGAAAGGTGCTTCAGTGCCGGCACCCTGGACACCATGTTCCCTGAGGTCCAGGCAGCACAGGGCACCTCTGAGCTGGAACTGGGGGAGAGGAGTCAAACTGCTCCTCTAGAGCTGGCGAGTTTACTCACACCCCGGAGCATTAGATGTCAGCGGAGCCGAGCCCACACCTGCTCCGGAGACGCGTGTCTCAGACCTGGCTGACGCGGCGGCTCTCAACTCACCACAGCAGGTCCACGAGGCCTCCCTGCCTGGCGATGGCGGATTTCACCCTGTTTGCAAACTGGACAGCATCCTCATCTGCCTGTAAGAAAGAACGAACAGGACCACTCAGCCCGGGCCCATGGCCACCCGGAGGCGAGGGAAGGCCTCTGCCCGGGGCCCTACCTCTCTGGTCACAGGGGGCAGGTACCAGACGCTGCAGACGACGGCCCAGCTGGTCATCATCCTCAGCAGGTACGTCACCATCCCGTATTTGCTGCTGTTCCAGAAGGCGTCTCCGAACTGAGGGTCGTACTGAAAGACAGGGCAGAGCTGGAGGGTGGGAAGGGAGCGGTTCTCACAATGCGGGGAGCCAGCGCCAACTTCCATGGAGGCCCCCGCGGGCAGTGTCGGGGTGAGGAAGGGACCCCAGGCCCTGCGTGTTCTTCTGAAGCACAGGGTGACGCTCGTCTCCCGACCTAGCCGGCCTCTGCCGGGTCGCTGGGGAAGTCGCGCCCGACAGCCTCCTCGAGCACAGTCCTCCCTCTGCGGCCGTTCGGCTCTTACTCATAGGCGCGTACTCGGCGGTCACGTTTCCGCACAAACCCGAAAACAGAGCTGGGAGAACGTGCTCCCACACACCGTGCCCCGGCGTCAGCAACTGCTCCCTCCATCCTCCCCTCTCAGGAGGCCTGTCCCCACCACCCTGTCATTCAGCTAATAAAGGTGTTTTCTTACGTAACCATCAGCTCTTTCCTATTATTTCTGGTGCCCAGACCACGGAGGAAACAATCAGAAAGCTTACGACGTGCTTCTGTGTTCACACTCCTAACCAAGTGCACTGTCTGCTCAGGAGGCGGCGCTGCGCTGACCGACGCCCCCGTGGTCGTCAGCACACGACACACCAATCTCAGGTCTCACGCGCGGGCGCTGGGCTCCCACCAAGAGGCAGGAATGTTAGGTGCTTTCGTTTGCCAACTCTAATGAGGCAAAAGGCTGTACTCAGGGGAATTTTGTAGAAAATGTGGCTGCAGCTGCGAACGTCATCGACATGGGAGAACAGCTCAGGCGGCAGGAAAGCAGGCGGGCAAGGCGCTGGAGGGAGCTGGACAGGGAGCAACAGAAGATATGAGTCCTCCAGGACAGATGACCGAACACGGTGCCACGGAGCTGTCATCACATGCTTGAAGGGCAACTGCAGACAAGGCTTCGTGTATTTACAGAGCAAACACTCAGGACCAGAGAGTGGAAAAATCAAAAGAAACAATTTCAAAAGTTATCCCACAGGACCACGCTGCCACCGATGTCAAAAATGCCCTTTTGGCTGAGTGTGGTGGCTCACGCCTGTAATCCTAGCACTCTGGAAGGATCACTTGAGGCCATGAGTTTGAGACCAGCCTGTGCAAGATGGAGCCCCCATCTCTACAAAACAGAAAAAAATTAGCCAAGCGTGATGGTGTGCCTGTAGTCCCAGCTACTCGGGAGGCTGAGGCAGGAGGATCGCTTGAGCCCAGGAGTTTGAGGTTGCAGTGAGCTGTGATGACGCCACTGTACTCCAGCCTGGTGGACAGAATAAGACCCTGTCTCTTAAAAAAAAAAAGCCGTTTCCTTAGGCGAGATGGAGAGGCAACACCGGAGGGGTGCTGCAGTCAGGATTCTGACACGGGGGCAGCACGTGGGTTTGAACGGTGTGATCTGTTAGGCCTTTCCAGTCTAAGTCTTATGATTCTCAGAATAAAAATTGGATGATTTTGCCAAGATTACAGCCCTAGGTACAGAAAGACATTTGGATTTAACTACAGAAGGCTTAATGAATTCACAATACCAAAAAGAGATAAGAGCAAAGAATACATTTTTAAAACTAAGCTTATATGTATAGTTAGAAAGGAACTGTCATTATGTTTCACGGAGCACAGCGTGGACAGAATTTGCGAGTGAGAGCCCTCTATCTAGGGCTGACTCTCTGTTCCATGCTGGGCAGACACTGTAGAGAGAAACAAGGCAAAAGCTCGAAATAGCAATAAATTCCTCAAAGTTAAATGCTGACTTGATTTTGGTGGAAACGTAGTAAGAGCCTTGAGATTGCCAAGGTGATCCAAGCTGGGTTACCAGCACAGGCTTCACAAAAACTAGGCAAGACTCTGTGGCGCGGACATTCCTAACCACGCGTGGGCTTTACTCTGCGGCCTGAATGAACAGACGGTGAGATGGGCATGCATTTTACTTTGGAGAGAAGCTGCACCGCTCCCAAGGGTCCATGTCCCAGCACACTGCTCAGGAGCCACGGCTCCAGACTGTGGGCGTCATGGTGTGGTCCCCAGACAGCACCATCAACACCGCCCAGAAACTTGTTAGAAGGAGAACTCAGCAACTCTGGCCGTTTCAGGGACCCCTCTAGGGGATGCTGACGCAGCTGAAGTGTAGGACCCCTGCAGTGCAGAGAGCACAGGGGCTGCCACGCACACACTGTCCAGCACCCGACCCCTGATCTAGAGCGCAGGACCGCGCTCACGCGGCCAGACGCCCCCACCACTCCCACACCAACGTGGACGCTGCTAACGGACCATGCTCCCAGACGAGCGGCCCTGCCGAGTCCCAGCCCGCCCATCAGAGTCCCCTGCAGCCAGTACCCGTCTGCCACCCGTCCTGGTCCTGCCTAACTGGTAGAAGGTAGCCGCTGGCAAGCACTTGCCTAACCCAGAGGAACACCTCGCCCCACAGCTGCACCAGGTGAAAAGAATGTCAAGAACCAGCTCTACGGATGCTCTTCAGACAACGCAGACCCTCGCGAGGGCACCGAGACTGGCTTCTGAGCACAGCTCTGACTCAGACTTGCCCACTGTTGCGGCCTCAGATGCGGCCTAAACGTCTTAGCAGCACCGACGACAGCCTGCGTGTTTCAGGAGTAACGGCGCGAGACCTGGGTTCCTCTGGAAGTAACACGCGTCTATCATGAAATCGATGGACGTGACGCGGGGGAGAGGAATGAGGAAAGCGGCAAAGATGACGGGCTAATCTCGGCCCCTCTCTCCAGGCAGTTGAAGGGTTATGGACAAGTTCCGGAAGGGTGGGGACGGATGAGATGAGCGCTCGGGATCCACTTCGCTGTGAGGAGCTGCTGTGTACACGGCGACTCTGCGTAGCAGTGGAGCTGCTTCTCCCACCCCCCGGGAACGAGGACCCGCCCACCCTCACCTCTCCCCAGAGGCAGAAACCCAGCATGGCGACCGCACCCCGTCCCTGCAGTCAGCCACCTCTTCCACAGAGCAGCCCACGTTCCAGCCAGGTCCGCGAAGAAAGAGGAGGGGAGTGAAGGACAAATGCAAAGCTTGAGAAGCGTCTGCCATCACCTGACCTGGTGGTGGCGGGTGTGGGCTGGCATCTGCCTGTTCCCCGTCCACACACTCCCTGGGCCTTTAACGGGGCTACGCGCCGTTAGCTCTCTCCCCCCCTCGCCGTCCACCCACCGAGCCCAGCCCCAAGCCGCTCTGCCGAGAGAATCCACTGCCTAGCGACAGCGGCCCTTCCGCCACCTCCTCCCGCTGCGTCCCCTTCACGCCGCGGTGACAATGACGACATGCACCCTCACAGGTCTTGTACCTTGATAGCAACAGGGTAAACTGTGGCTCCAATTTCAAAACTTCCCTTTTTGAACATCATCACCGATGTATTATTGATGCAGGTTCCTAAAACGCAGGAGAGGGTAAAATGCCATTTCTGTCAGTCCTTTACCTCCAGACTAAACGTAACAACCAACCGCCTCTAACGGCGCCTCAGGCAGGGCACACCTGCCACGTCCCTAACTTGCACACGAACACTGACTGGCAAAGCACGGCGAGGCTTCGGTTCTCTTTTCACGGGACCACGTTCCCTGCTCTGCACACATCCAGCCAGGGCCAGAGGTGCTCAGTGGCCGTGGGAGGCCCCGCGAGGAGCTGAGGGGCTCTGGGGCAGCAGCGCAGGACGGACGCCTGCACGAAGCGAGTTCACACCGTGGCGCCCTTGGTTCCAACTCTGAATGTCCCCGAGTTCTTAGTCCCACAGTCAAGCTAAAGGTGCAGACACAGAACCCCAGCACGGGCTGAGGGCCTGGTTCCCGGGCAACGCCACAGTCACGCTCTTGCGCATCCCACGAAGCGCCAGCGGCAGTCAGCCCCTCTTACCTTCTGGGAAGATGAGGATAGGCAGCTTGCTTTTATCTCGCACGTGTTCAGTCAGTCTTCAGAAAAGAAAAAAACAAGGGTGAGACAATCTGACACCCACTACTGTCAAATGCATTTATAAATAACCTATTTTTGTTGACACTAGTTTAGATATATAAAAACAAGTCAACAAGTATGACCTGATCCTTTTTAAGCCCACAACTAAAGCTCATAAAGAAGAAATCTGTAAGGGTAGAGCAAGTCAGACGACCGCTATTCAATTCATACGGTCACTCGGCGTGGCACTGACGTCTGTGAGAGGACGTGGCTCAGACTGGGGCTTCCTGAAAGAGGCGCCTCCCTTGGGGCCTCGCACAGGCGCTCGCCATACACCTTTGCTGCCTGACCGCGCAACAGCCGCGCCGCGCTGGACCTCCAGTTCCCGGCTCAGTGCTCTGCCCCGAGATGCGGCAGAGAGGACGTGGCGGAGGATTCGCCTGTCCCTACGGAAGATGGTCTCGACTGCGTCTTCGCGTCTCTCTCCACTGCAAATCTCCCTGCATTACTTACGCCAGATTCGCCCTGCTGTTCAAGTTTGAAAACCAGAGCGCACTTTACTCACTGTCTTAAGCTTATTTTTGTGATAACGGATTCATTCTGAGATTTCACACAGCAGTAAAAGTTGGTATTTTGTTTATTACAATGGGTATGATGAATAAAAAAAGTTAAGAAACGTTACTAACTTGGTAAATAACACTAGGGTCTCTAGACTTCTTATATTCCATGTTTTAGGAAAAATTTATTATGCAAACAGTATAGGCTCGCTGTAGAAGACACTAGAATTCCGCTGTGAGGAACAGCTATCGCTGAAATGCTTTCTGCATTCTTTACTACTGGTCACACCCAAGAGCAGCGCTTTGCCCGTTACCTCTTGGCCACCAGGTGGCGGTCCTTCACCTCGGAGCGCTCGAACCAGACGTGTGGGCAGGCCTTCACCATGGCTCTCTGGATCACGCCCATCAGTCCCCCGTGCACCTGACCCACCTAGCCCAGACAAAGAACTCTGAGCACTGCAGCCAGCCTTACCAATCCCCCACTCCAAGGAGCAAGCTCCAGATCCCACAAAATAAGCTCTGCAGCCTTGGACATGCGATTGCTACCTGCGGATTGCTCACTTTTAATTGGTAATGCCAGAGATATGGAATGAAAAACATTCCCGAAAACCCTACAACAAAATAATAAAGTTGAGCCTCCCTCGTGTAAAAGTGCCCCTCCCTGGGCAGATTCTCAAAGGCCCGGAACGCAGTCCTTCCAAGGCCCACGCCCTCCCCGCTTCCACGTCTGCCTGAACACCCACCCTCACACGCAGCCACACACACACTCGCTCTGCTCAGTGTCTCCTCTCGGAGTCCCACGGGCTCCCCGTGCACGAATACGCGCCTGCACCCTCTGTAAAGGGCCCAGAAGCCTCCCCATCCTGACCAGTCTGAGGGAAAGGTCTTGCCTCAAGAGACCTTACCATGGCGTAATAGCCATCACTAGCCAAAATGATCACGTCGATAGGAGAGGTATGATTGGCCACACAGATGCCACCGTTTCTTGGTCTGTTTTCCCTGAGTTTAAAATGTATGCAAAGCAACAAAAATCAGTGCGAAACAATTCATTTGGGACACATCCCTCCCCTCCCACGCTTCATCTGCTCTAACTGGAAGCGCCTGAGAGCCTTCCCCTTGCCAAGGACAGGGGAGTGGTGGTTTCTGCCAGCGCCTCCTCCTTTGCATCGAAAGCCTCACCTGTCGTGGTAGGTGATGATGGCCGTCAGCGCTCGCACACAGATCCGGTAGCACATCAAGTGAACATGTTTACTCAGGAACTCCTTAAACCTGCAACACAACAAGGATTCTGAGTTTTGTTTTACATATAGGAAGACAGGAAAAGCTGCAGAAGCCAACAATTTGACACTCCTTTATGAGTACAGAGTACTTGTATAAATACTAGTACATGTGGTATAAAATCCTGTAATATATTAGCATCTTTATGTTTACACATGAGGAAACAAAGAAATAACAACGAGACTTGCTTACATTCACCTAAATTAACACGTTGAGAATTCAAAGCCCTAGAATCTCCAGCACAGGTGGTCAGGACATCTCCTAGAGTCCTTTCCCCAGTTAGCAGCCAGCGGCAGGCCAAAGGCTACAGGCCAAAGGCACAGGCAGCCTCCTCCCCAGCCCAGGAAGAAGAGCGGTTTACCAGCTTACACAACTTCCCGGAGGGAGCAAAATTTTCTTGAAAAAACAAAGACCAAAAAAACAAAAAAAGCTCACAAAACCCCACCCAGACAAAACCTGCCTACATTTCAAATCATTTTCTAAAACCTTACCCTCTCACCAATCTATGAACATACTAGAATGCTCAAAACTAAACATGCTGCAAAATCTGTTAACATCTGAGTCCTGGACTCTTCGTGGCTTCTCCCTTTTATCTTTAAAATGAGACAAATGTAAGGGTTGGAGTGCAAAAAGAACAGTCATAGATACAGTAAAAAAAGTAAAAAACTGTACCGCTGGTGCCCTTGTTACCACCGGGCTGTTTCACCCATCTAAGATTCCACACATTCGGCTGTATCCACATACGTGGCCTGGCCTTCGCTGTCGGAGCCACTGTCCCCAGAACTGACTGCCCTACAGACACAAGTCCTGCACTCTACTCACCTCCCATTTGGCAAGTATCCCACCACGGTTGTGCCCACCACCAGAAGGCTAATACCCGTGAACGCAAGAGCTATCCTGTAATAAGAAGACAAGTTAAAATACAGCAAACACATTCTTGCACCAAGTATGAATCCAACATGTGAAAATGAAAGTGAGCTTCACAAAAAACAGCTCCAAGATCTGGTCACCTACGATGTGGACAAGAGTTCCCTCTAGAGACTCGAACAGGCCCGTGAGAACCAGAGACCATTCTGATTCCAAACTGACGGCACACTGTGGGTCTGCTCTCGGCTGACACCCTCTCCTCAGGCATCAGGCACCTAGAGCGACAGGAGCCCTGAAGATGGCTGCTCTGCCTGCTGCCCTGCTGCCTTCCCCTCCCCCTTGGCCTAAAACCCTGGCAGAGCACAGCTTCTCTGTGAAGCAATGGGAGGCAGAGCCTGAAGGTACCAGCAACTGCAAACATACCCGAAGAGCACACGGCTTGCAAAAAGCTGAGAGATCAATACTGCCTCCGTACTGGCTCCCAAGCTTCAGGAAGAATGAGCCGTGTCCAGGGCCGAGTGGCCAGGAAGTAGATGGTATTCCCTGTCCCTGCGTTGGGTCCACGCAGGTGGACAATCCTGTCTTTAAGAAACCCAACTGCCTCTGTCTGATGTGCAAGAATCCAAGGGCCTTTAAAGGACAATCCCTAGGGCACCCTTCCAAGAGTCAGATGGCCTGGCCAGTGGAGAGTCACACTACCCTTCCTTCCAAAATGGGAAGACGAAGCAAAGACAGGCAGGCAGGCCGAGCCGGCAGCTTGTTCCCGCCGCGCCTCCCTCACCTGAGCGGCAGAAGGAAGCAGTACCGAATCAGCACGCCCAAGCCCCACAGCACGGTGAGCCGGAGGCTGATGTACTGGAAGTTGTAGTTGGTTCTGCTCAGCAGGTTCCAGGACTCCAACTCCTCGGCTGAGAATCTCTTCGTCACCTCGTCGTCCATAATGGTCTCCATTCCTTTCCGGCAAAAGTAGAAAATGTCGGAGAGCTCAAACTCTGGAGTGTTATCCAGAGCCTTACTACTACCACTTCGACGAATTTCTTTGATCTCTTCTTCTAGCGAAGTGGGATCTTTCGCGATGATTCCTGCAGAAGAGCAGACTGTGTCAAGCAGCACGCTGGGAGACAGCAGCAGAAACATCCAGAGTCACACCCTACATTTGACAGTGAACAGCGTGTGGCATGAACGGCGAGTGGGAACACTTCTCAAGTGGCACTGCCAGAAGGCCCAGAGCTGCTTACCATTGGTGTAGGGCTTGTACAGCTGGTGGTTCTTCTCCTTGGCGCCCCTCTCCATTCTCAAGGTGGCCCACTGCAGGGACGCAAAACACAAGGGCAAGAATGAGACCCTGTCCAGTCAGTAAACACCCCACTCCATTCGTGACAGCCTCAACCCCAGGCACCTGAGACGGATGTAGCCAAGAAGCACATGTTCTAAAAGGAAGCAAGCAAACTCAACCCCCACCCGCTCTGAAGAGCAGTAGCCCCACCCCCACCCCACCCCGATAACTAGGACCGAGTTCCGCTAATACAAACAAGAGCTGGAAACTCCAGAAGCTCGTGTGAGCTGCTCAGGTCTCTGTCCCCTGGTCACATCAGAGCTCGTGCTGACGGCACAGGGACCTTGCTGTCCCCTGCACTGCCCCACAGCAGCTACTACTGCCTGCCACCAAATTCATCCAAGAAAGCAACAATTTCAGTTTTCAAGGAGGTATATAGGAATTAAATAAACGATGCGTATGTTTGGACTGCCCAGTAACAGGGGAGAATCCCACAACTTAACATAGAAAGGCCTGGGAGTGGCTTAATAATGTTAAGAAAAAAAAGAACACTATTTGGAGATTAAAGAAAAGAAAAATCCAGCTTCAATTCCCAAGTTTAACACTCAGTAGCCGTGTTCCTTAAGCAACATGCCAAGTCTCTGACTCTTGGTCTCTTTATCTGCAAAGCAGGACTGACACTATCTCTACCTCCTGCTTCACAGGGTCACTTAGGGTCCTCTGAAATCACGGATCTGGTAGAACCTGGGAAATGCAAAGCTCCCCAGTTGTCCTCATTATCACAGAATACACAAACTCTGGAAGAGATCTGGAAAAACTCTCTTCCTTAATTAAAAATCCTCTTCACTGAAGTAAAAAGCCAGATCTGGGTCTCTTCCACTATCAGAGAGAGAGAGGTAAAAACATGAGCTCGCCGATTCCCTCTTGAATATGCTATCCCTGAATAAAAAGCTACATCCACAGCGAGTTAAATAGGACAGATATCTGAAAAGATACCTTTCCAAACACGTTTCCGCAGTTATGCAGGGTGGGGAGGGATGCTGCCATTCCCCGACACGGCAAAATGCACGCGGCCCCAAGCATCTGGCGTGGATGCTGCCGGCAGAGCCTGAGGGATCAGCAAGACTGCCCTGTGTGGCAAAGCCAAGCGCCGGACCCGAGCTTCATCAGTGACCTGACCTCACCTGGAAACTTCTTTAATCTCTACTGTCTAGAAAAAAAGGGCTTCCAGAGTCATCCACTCGAAAAAAGTTCGAAGGCAAGAACTCATATAACCCGTTTTCTGTACTTCAGACATTGGGCCCGTGACATCTTTTGTTTCTATGAGTGGCAGACCTTTTCCAGAAGGAAGTGGTAATAATTCCTGAAATGGAGGAAGGTAAACTCCACCTGGTTTCCTGGAACTAGAGATGAGGTGAAAAAGGGCAAGAGAGTTTGCGACAAGCGTTTCACACTTCGGCCAGGCCTCTGTTTTGGTGTTGCAAGAATAGTCAGAATAGAAAAACCCGATTCTGTGCTGACGATTCTGACACTTAGATTAGACTGCAACGGACAGAGAACACAGGAGATCAGGGCTCTCGAGGAGAATTTATGTCTGAAGACTGTTTCACCTGCGGAATTCCAGACGGCATCCGCTAATTGAGATTCCACATCTGCTAGCTCTGTCATAGCTCAGTAATAAACATCTCCTTGGCCTCCTGCTTTTCAATATTTCAGGAACATTACAAAACACTTCTGTGCTTAGGAAAGAATTGCCCAAAGTCACAAGGGCAGGGGAAGGGAGGGGAGGGCTGGAGGAACCTGGTTGTGAGCTGAGAACAGCCTGTTAAGAAATGGCTGATTAGGCCGGGTGCAGTGGTTCATGTCCGTAATCCCAGCACTTTGGGAGGCCAAGGCAGGAGGATTGCTTGAGGCCAGGAGTTCAAGACCAGCCTGAACAACATAGTGAGACCCCATCTCTACAAAAAATAGAAAAGTTAGCTAGGCATGGTGGCACACCCCTGGAGTCTCAGCTGCTCAGGAGGCAGAAGCAGGAGGATTGCTTGAGCCTGTGAGTTTGAGGTTGCTGTGAGCTATAATCGTGCTGCACTTTAGCCTGGGCAGCAGAGTGAGAACCCTGTCTCACAAAAGAGAAAGAAAAGAAAGACAAGAAAAGAAAATGGCTGCTCAGTGAACTGGTTTCCTTTTACCTGAAGGAAACCAAAATATTTCACCCCAAAATATGCTTCTTTGACATATTTCAAGACAGCTAGAAGGACTAGAAATACAATAGCTGAAAAGCTGCCTTTTGTGGGAGAGACAGCATCTGTGGAGGAAATAAAGGGAAGTAAACAATACGTGCAGACAGGCTTTCTCCGAAGGACCCCTACCCCACCTCTCCTCAGGATCCAGAGAAGACTGACAGGGAGTCTGACACCTTAACACATTCACTGCCACACTGGAAAAAAAAAATTTTCCCTGGGGCCACAGTGTTTTATTACAAAAATAGAATAAAAACTTAAAAAGCAAAATAATCCTTTCTAATTTAATAAAAAAGTTATTTTTTGTTTTCTGTGCATGAGTTATATGCAACTTGAAAAACAGTTCTTGTAGCTCCCAAGGTGAAGAGACGTTTGAGTTACATATGCTTCACAAGGCCCCAGGCTCAAAACTAGCATGAGTTAAATGCAACTCACATGGCAGTTAATGTGTTAAAGGTCTGAAGGAAACATCTACCATCCATTCTCTCTCTCAGAGGGCAGTGAGGTCATCTGCACTGCAGGACCACCTTTGCTGGCCAGGCCTCCTGTGCTCTCCCCAATAACCGTCTGGCCGCCCTAAACTGATTTACCACCATACCCTGTCTCTGGCCACGCTCTGAGACCTCCTCTTTCTGCAACCTCAAGGTGGTATAAAAGCATCAACTCTCTGGCCATTTCTCTGAGATCTCTTTTAGACTCCTGTGCACGTTAATAAATGTGTATGCCTTTTCTTCTACTTCTCTGCCTTTTGTCAGCTAATCTTTCAGCGAACCATCAGAGTGCAGCGGCAGTTTTCCCTTGGCGCCTGCACACCCTAGCGAGGGCTGCAGGGAAGGGCCCCTGGGAAGAGTTTCCTCTACACCACACTCTCACGTCACACTTCCGTCCCCACAGCAAGCAAGTCCTCAGCAGACACCAGCTGGGTGTCCTCTAACCCAACTCAGTTCTGACTCCGCCACCCAGAGACACCACAGGTTAAGGGTTCCAGGACTGCCCCCACCCTCAGACACCAGCTGAAGTCCCAGCTCAGGAGGTGCGCCTCTGGCTGACCAAATACAAACTGGTGTTCAGTACTTTGCTAGGCTGATTCACAGAACTCAGGGAAAAGCTTTACTTACGTTTATGGATTTATTATAAAGGACACAGCTCAGGAAGCACCAGAGGGAAGAGACGCACAGGGCAAGGTATGGGGGGAGGTTCCACACCCTTTCTGGGGCACCGCCTTCCAGCACCTGGAAGCTCATCAAATCCTGTTGTTCAAGGGTTTTTACAGAGCTTAACAGAGTTTAATCTCCAGCCCCCACCCCGCCATAGGTCATTGGGGGGGGGTCTGAAAGTTCCAACCCTCTAAGCACTTGGTCTTTCTGGGGAGCAGCCCCATCCCAAGGCTGTACATGCCAGCCTTATGTCACCCATCAGCACACACACAGGTGGGCCCTGGTCACCCATCAGCACAGATGCAGGTGGGCCCTAGTCACGGATGCAGAGGCTCATGGTGAATAACAGAAGACACTCCCATCATGCGGGAAATCCCTAGGGTTTTAGGATCTCTGTGGCAGGAACCAGAGGCAAAGACCAAGTATATTTTATATATTATATCACAGACCAATGCACAATAGCAGTGTCTCATAACTGCACAACTGGCTTCTCTGAGCTGTCACTTTAAAAAGTACAGTTTTCAGTTGGATGCAATGGCAGCGTGCCTGTAGTCCCAGCTACTTGGGAGGCTGAGGCAGGAGGATCGCTTGAGCCCTGGAGCTTGAGGCCAGCTGGGCAGCATAGGAGACCTCTTTATCTCTTAAAAAAAAAAAGTAAGAGTTTTCAGATAACTAAAATTCTTAATCAAAATTAAGAATCCTAGGTTCAGAGTTTATTTCACTGTAAAAATCCTCTCCCTTAGCCCGATCTATCATTTACTAGGCAATTTAGCGCCAGATAACTTAATTATTCCCTTTTTAGCTCCTCCCAGAAGAGACAATTTAAAGGTACTAACAACACTGCGCTTCAGTAATGTTCAACTGAACAGAGCCCTTGACAAGTGAACTATACACGGTTCCATGGTATGTCTGCTGGTTATTCATTCTGTTCAACACTACAGTTAGGAACTAATGACACAGTAAGGTCTAACAACCCTGGTAACACGAATCTCAGCAGAAACCTTCCCTCCTCCTTCTCCGTCAGCCTCTACTGCATTTCCCCACAAACTGACCAGATACCGCCAAAGAGCCTGACCCTTGAAGACTCAGGCTCCTCTGGCCGCTCACCTTCCATGCCCCATGCAAACCTCCCGCCTCCAGCAACTCTCTCCTCTCCCTGCTTCAGCTGCACATCTAGGCAGCTCCCGTCCAATCCACAGCTTTATCCTGGACTGCGCAGAGGTGGTGACCTCACCTTTCCAACGAGCAGGCCGTCCGGCCCGCACCATCAAGCGTGTTAGCTAAAGGCAGCACACCTCCTCCTGATGGCCCGCTGCCCCTCTCTCGGTGGCACTCCCGATCTGTTGCTGCCCTCTCGCCACCGAGCTTTCAGGCTCCCTTTGCCATCCAGCCCTCGCCATCTGAGAGGACATGCTCACCCAGCTGCCTCCTGCTCGTGCCACTTGTGCACTCCCTGACTCTCTATTGAACTGCTCCCCTCTTTCCTCCCTCCCATCCAGGGACGCTTGCGGCCAGTCTGATCACATCACCTTCTAGTTCAAAACCCTTCCACGACTTCCCAACACCTAAAGAAATGTTCAACATCTTAACCTACCTCATTCCCTCCACGTACCCAATGTTTTCACCCTATGAACT